AATGTTTTCTTACCGATTTACTTGTCATTTACTGCCGAAATCTCAAACGTTAATGAGTCGCTGAATATAGTCAAAGATGCTATTACCCTCTCCGCACTCACCATTTCATGAACTTATTGACCTCCTTTATTATTTAATTTAAAAAAACAATATATGTAAATGTACTAAGAACAATTCTTTAAAACAATTCGCCAAGAAATATCAAAACGTACATATATAATTAAAGCAATTAAAACACTAATTGTTGTAATTTCGCAAGATAGTCTTAACCTCAATTTCTGCCAAATTGAAATCGATACATACATACATGCGGTATAGATGCATATTAGGGTGCACCACTCGCCATGCAAAAAAAAATCGATACCGTTTTTCCATTACAAATATATAATTTATTTTATTCCGCCAAAATAATTGTGAAAAATAATAAGATTTACGTGGACTTAACTTATTTGAAACTTACATAAAAAAATCGAGTTTTTTTTTAAATAAAATTTGTTAAAAAAAAACTATTTCTGAAAAATCACTTCATACGATAGAAGAGTTTAAGCTTAAAGGTCTGCATAAAAGTGTTTAGACATTTTATCAACGGAATAAAATAATGAGATTTTTTAGGTATTCTCAAATCGGTCCAGCTCACGTAAATCTTAATATTTTTCCGAAATATTTTAGCGGAAGTCTAAGAATAAAATACATTTTATAATTCCGGTGGAAAAGCAGCAACTTTTTTTTTGTGACGCATCGTAATGCACATGTGAACGTGCTCAAATACAGCAACCGATATGCCGGCGGTTACCGCATACAGCGATGAGTGGGAGGGAGTGTGGCAGGAATTTTTACTACACAAGTTCAAGCGCACATTAAAAGTTTATTCTCATTTTCGCTAATACTTTTTCTCTGCATTTTTTCGCTACACATTTGGCTTCAACTAAATATGCATTTACATATGTATGTATGTACATAAAAGTAAAAAGTTTTTAATTAGTGAATGTTAAATTTTGTTGCCACAAACACGAATACTCGTATTAATTTTTAAAACTTTGCTGGCGATACCTCCTAAGAAATGTATGTATGTATAACAAGTAAAAATATTTTTTCGAATGAAATTGACCATAAAATGGAAATTCTTGTCAGCAATAGCGGAGGCGTGGTAGTCATCAGTCATAATTGTAGGAACGTGCTATTTTTGAATAGAGATTTATTGAATGTTCGTACAAGTATAATTGGTAATATTATGGCACATCTGAATAGTATTTATGTATATCGTTGCACTAGCGGCAGAGAAGAGAAATTTTTCAAAATTAATTAAAAATATGTATGCATGCAATTTTCTGGTTTATAACTTTCAATAGCTCGTCTAGACATCGAATGCCCCAAATTTAATCGAAAAACCCGCATTTTGTCTAAATAACCAAAATTACCCTCCACTGCCTATTCAAGTGTGAAATAAGCCTACTATATGTAGTTTGATTTATTTGTTGGCGAATTTTGTTTATTTGCTAAAAACAAAGCAGTCGATGGCTTACTACCACCCTCCACCTCTTCGCTAAGTTCCTCTTCCATACTCACCCCTACCAAAATTCACTCACCTAAGCACCCGCTAGCCGCAAAAACCCAAATGACTCGACGTGACTTATGTTCCTACATTCATCGTCATTTACAAAACATAGTATGTATTTATTTCAACCACAATTCATAATACATGAAAAAATGTGTCTTTTGCAGCGCAGCGATTTTAGTTTGCAAATTGCATGCAATGACGTGTGGTTAACAAATCATATTTTAGGGCGATAAATTGGGGGAAAAAAAATATTCGATGACAAATGAAAACCGACTAAGTATGAGTAAGTGAGTGAGCGTACAGACATACATACATATGTACATACATATGTATATGTACCGAGATATGATTAAGTAAATTTTTCTGCAGTTTTTTGGTTTAGAAATCGTACTTGAATTGCATTCACGGAAATTGTGGTTTACCATGGTCTAAGGAATTAAATTAATATTTCATAAATACATTCTTGCTTTCTGTATGACTTTTTGCGCAGCTCTTTAGTATTTTAAATTATGACGACATTTAATCGTTTAGATGCCTTTAGATATCCTCGTAGTTAGATGCATTTGTGAAAGGGTCAGATTTTATAAATTAGCTATTAGAGAGCAATTACCATAAATTCACCTCAGGTTAATTTAAAATCGCAAAATCACCGATGTTCGTAATTTAAAGTGACTTGAAAATAGAATTTCTAAAAGAGTATATATTCTCCTTTGTCGACCATATTTATCTCTTTATTACATGCTATCGAAATAAATCTATTATTCGAATCATTAAGCTTAAAAAGACATTTCAATCATATTTTATACCAATAAACCTACTTAATCTGGGACATTCTAGATATGAAAAAAATCCCACAAACGAATATATGGGGCGTTCCATGCCCAAGACGGACGGGATTCACACTTCATCTGTTCGGTTTGTTTCAAATTTTTAGGGTTGATGCATAAACATAAATTACATAAAACTATGAAATTTGATCTCGATTAATTCATTTTTAAAAACTTTACAGCACAAACACAAAAACAAAACGATTTATGTAATAGTTTTTCAAATATCTCGAGAACGCAGCGAGGAAAAAGTTTGAAAAAGTCACACATACACACCTCAAAATTCTCTATGAAAAGAAATATTTTTAAATTTTTTTTCTTGAAAATTTTTTCACATACAAATTTTTTGATAAAAAAAAATTAGTTTCTGAAAATATGCCATCTCAAAAAAAAAAATTAAAAAAAAAAGTCTCAATGGTAGCTCTGAGTATTGCACAATATTTAAGTATAGTATTATGGGGTGCACTATACAATAATTTGAGTTATGAATTTTTTTTTTACAGCGAAGTTGAGTAAAATGCATACAATACAAATTTTTTCCAGTATGCAGTCTTGTAGCCCATCAAATTTTAGTACAATAAAGTGCAAGTTTTAAGCTCCTGCCAAATTGCGTTGATTTATAATATTTTTAATGCTGACAGCTTTTTGCACTTTTTTCTTATGGAAGAAAATGCAGTTTTCAAAGAAAATTAAAAAAAAAAACAACGCCAGTTTTCCACTCGCTTAAACCTTGCACAAGACTTCATAGCAAACTAGTAAATAGCGCACCTAAAAGTATGCAGCATTAAAAGTGCGATCGAAACGCTTTTGTTTTTTAATTTCGATGGCTCTTATTTTCATAGACTTCTCAAGCGTATTTATGCCAATCTCTTGAAATGTTTCTGCAAAATGCTCTTAAGATAAAGACAGTCTGTGTCTAAAAGCTCGTCTCTTATGTTACATATGGCATGAGGGAACTCTTCCAAATGTAATCTTCTAGAACCATAATCGAGCCAATTGTATTGCATGGCGTCATTGTCTGTTGAAGTTCACTAGAAAAGCGTATATTTGAGAAGAAGTTATAACGCGTGCAAGGACCTGTCTAATACTAGCACTTAAGGTCGCATAGACATTGCAGGAAAAACCTTCGCAGTCTGCTATGCGATCGGGCTAAGGAGCAGCAATGGGTTCTGATTTAACCAAAAAACCTACAGAAACTTATCAGTACGTACCGATACTGGCTCAGTTTAGGTCATTCTCTACACACATCCTTCTAAAGGAAATAGGTCTAGTAACAAATGCATGGATGGGTCAAAGTTGGATGTTAAAGTTGCGGCCGACTCTTTTGGCAGGGATTGTACACTGCTTTCCGTTTATTGGTATCACAAAGTGCTGTCACGTAACCTTACCTAACATAGCCCATCAATATTTAAACAGATATATTTTTGAAAATTGTTTTTCGCCCAAAATAAAGTGAATCAAATATTTATACCACTACATACACAACTCTGCGTCTTTCGCTTTGAATTTGAAATTACATACGCATGAATTAGGAGTTTCCCAAATAAGACGAAAACTGTCAAACAGGCAAACAAGAAACTTAATAGACTGCAAACATATTACAAATTTTCTGGCCAGAGACTATGCCTATGGTTCTTGCCTGCCTGCTGTTGACAATATTACACTGATTGCAAACATTTGCGCAGACAAAAAATCAGACATGTGTGGCGTAACAAACATACGTAATGAATTATATTTGGGGCGGGTCAATTTGTATGGGAGAATTTTTTCGGCTATGCGCATGTAGCACGGAAGAATTCTACGTGTAATTGTAAGCAAATTTGCTGAAGAAACCAAGAGTCTAAAGCCAATTTGGAGTTTGCCAAATTACGAAAATAGGTTTCTTAGCATTTTACTGTAGTAAAGAAGTTCTTAAATTTTACATAAAACATGCTATAAGGGATTTTTTGGTACGCGGGAATCCACGTCTGCGCTTATCTTTTTCTTAAAACTTCCACCAGAGGGCGCAACAGTAAAACATATCGAATTTTCTTCGAAACCTAGTTTCGCAATTTGGCAAACTTCAAATTGATTTCAGACCCACGGTTTCTTCAGCAAATTTGCTAAGAATTCCACGTAGAAACCGCCAATGCTATATGCGCATAGTCAAAAAAAAATAAATAAAAAAATTGACCCGCCCTAATGTAGGTATCTATATCCGAGTTGAACAAAAACTGCTGAATACTTTCAAGCTTACGAGGTAAACAAATGTAGCAGAGAAAACTTTGGAAAGAAGTTGTAAACGAGCAAGTAAACTGATGACTTTGACTTCGAACTTATTTACGAACAAAAGGAGAAAACTTTCATAGAAAGTAAAAGGTAATGTGCGTGCAGTTAAGAAGATTTCTAAGTAACAAATGACACAGCACAAGAAGTAAGAAAGAATTTAAAAAATCGCACAATTTACCACCACCAACGCTCTGAGGACATGAATCATCAACAGATTTGGGAGTGAAACGAAAATCAAACTAAATTTACCGTAATGCGAAAAAATCACAATTTCAACTCACAATTCTCTTAAGATACATAGATATATATATATATATTTTTTTTCGTAAATATCATTCTACACTTACATTCTTTATTCTTATCCATCGCCGGCTGCAATGGGCTGGAATCAACAATCGCCTTCGGTGGTGATTGCCTCGGATCATAGCCATCGGAATTTGTGCCATCATCGCTGCTAATACCACCAATGCCGCTGCTGAGGAATGATGCTGTCGCTGCATTCAAGCGTTGTTCACCTGTGATAATGAAACGGACGAAAGCGGAAGGGAAAATAAGAGCAGAAAACAGAAATTTCCATTACATGTCAATCGCATCAGCATCTGCGGAAATCTGCGACTCCACGCGCACACTCTGCGTGTCTGCGTGTGTTTCTGTGTGTTCACTCACCTTCTGACATATCGTCGTATGCTTCCTGCAACAGTATAACGTCTTGAAATGTATGTCCGAAGCCCACTTTGCCACTGAGCTGTGACGCTGTCAGCAACGCGTTACACGACGTATCCGATATAATCTCAACGGTGGTTGTTGTCGACCCCGGCGACGAGAATGTTGCGAGTAATGAAGCAGAGCCACCGGAACAGCTGCTCAAGGAGTGCAGTGAAGCTGATTTTGTAATTGCCGCCGCCTTCGTTGACACTGCGGTGGAGGTAAGCGCGGTCGTCGTCGCTGCCGATGCGGCTGTTGCGGACGCTGAAACCGTGGAAGCTGACTTTTCACGCGCCTTCACCACCGACTTGACAGCCGATTTTACGGCTGCTTTTGTTCGTTCTGCGCTCTTCTTCTCCGCTGTTTCCTCTGTTTTCGTAGATTTTTGATGTGCGCCGTTAGCCGCGACGACAGTGGATTTTGCGGCTGACGTCCGTACGGATGTGGATGCTTTCGAAGATGAAGATGTCGCGCTGCCAGAAGAGGCAGACGAGGACGATGATTTCGATGAGGTCACGGACGACGATGAAGAACTGCTACTGCTACTGCTGCTGCTGTTGCTATTACTGCTGCTGCTGCTCTTATGGCTCGATATGGATTTCTTCGAAGAGGCCACAGAGCTGTTCGATGCAATCGACGAGGCGGGCGAAGCTGACGATGATGAAGAGGATAAAATCGCTGAATAACCGCTACCGTTGTGCTGCGGCGAAGTGATGCCTTTGACAATGCTGTCGCTGCTGTGTCGCTTTAAGCCGCTGCCGTGACTGTGATGTAGCAGCTGGTGATGGTAATGATGATGCAGATATGGCAGTTGTTGATGCAGATGGTTTGTGGTGTCAACGGTGATGGGTGTCGTGCAGTTGCTAGCACCACTTTTAACGATGTTGACGATAGCAGTGTTCGGATTGATTTTACCGTTGTAGTTTTTCGTGCCGTTGACACTGTTGCTGTTGCATTTGCTTGGCTCGGCAACGTCTTGCACCTTTGCTTTGGTTGGCTTTGTGTGCTCAGTTACGGCTGTGGTTGTTGCGCTTGGCGCTTTTATAGTTGCTTGTGTAGTTGTTGTTATTGTTGTGGTTGTAGTGCCGTCACTGCTGCTGGCGGACGCTTGAAACCAAGTTGGGAAGCTACGTTTGAGCGTGTCAATAAGATCCTGATCGAGCGTTAAACGCCACGATGCAGGGCCGCCGTCCACGCCGTGGTGCGTAGACTCTGTGGAAGGAAAGAAAATGGGTTGCGATTAGAACGAGCTGGATTTAAATATTTGTAAGTTAAGGGTAAGCTGCTATAAATGATGAAAATTGATTTATGATGGATAAAAAATTACATTACAAGAGTAAATTTTAAAGTAGTGACAATTACAAAAGATCTTCCCAATTGAAAAATTATGTAGTTTCCTTGAAGTATATGTATTAGTATATCTTGTATAATTTTAAAGATTTATGAAAATTTTACCTAAAAATTGCTAAAATATCCCCAAAGTTTACATAAAATCCCATGAAAAGTCCGAAAAGTATCTGACATAATCCACAAACAATCAACGAAATCCGGAAAGATTTTATCGAAAAATTTTCAAATCTACAAATTTGCCGAAGAAGCAAAAAAAACAGTCAGTGGTTAACGCTTCTGACTTTGAACATCGAATTCGCAGGTTCGATCCCTGCTGAAGTCTAGAAACAGAAGTCTGATGAGGAGATGTGGTGATCTCCGAAATAGTGCTATAACTTCTACCGCTTAGACTTTGTTGCTTTTTCAATTTTTCCTAATAAACAATCGTGGTACAAAGCTCAATAAAAATATTAAAAAAAAAACAGTCGTTAATAACTGACGAAATATCTAGAGGTTCTCAAAAATTTTCGAAAAATCCTAATAAGCCCCCAAAAATCTTGAAAGTTTAAAAAAATAAATAAATAAAAAATCACAAGGATCCCCAAAAAATTCCGAAGCTTAGAAAAATCGATAAGCCCAAACAACAACAAAACAAAACAAAATTTTGAAATATCGACGAAAAATCAAAAACTCCAAAAAATCACCAACAATTTGCCGTTTAAATATATAAAGGTTCTAAAATGATATCCCTATTATTCCCAAGTATTCACGAGGGCCCTCAGAAATCTCATAAGTCCCAAAAAACTATGAAAAAAATTCTCAGAAAATTCAAAAAATAAAATCTTAAGAAGGCCAAAAAAAAGGTTCAAAGGTACCTTTCCAGAGAAGTCCCCCGAAGCCTTGAGAAGTCTAGAAAAAAATTTTATTTTAAATTTCGAAATCCTCTTGGAATTCACAAAAAGTCAAGTTAATTGAAAACTGGTAAAATATGCAAAAAATTACCGAAAACTCTTAAAATATATCCCTTAAAGTGCCAAAAAGTCGGGTGAAGTTAAGAACAATATCGGAAAATACCCAAAATTCCAAGGCAATTCCGAAAAGTCAAAATGAAGTACCGAATTAGTCCAAAAAAACGTCCACAAAAATAGCAAAAAATGCAGGAAACTGAGACATTCTCCGAATGTCGAACTACATTTATTTAATAAGAAGTTTGCCTCCTTTATAAATCAGTTAAAAGTGCGCCTAAAAGTATATAGCATTTTATGACTGTTATTTCTTTTACGCAGGTAATTCTCAAACGAGTTATGGAATATTTGTTATTCAGCAAATAAAGCATTAAAAATAAAATTATCACACTTTTCTGCTCTCTAACGACAAAACCTCCAACAACTCTCACCAAACACGCAAATGACTACCCATTTTGCAACTCTTGGAAGCAATCAAAATTCTTGTTAGTTTATTTAAGTAAATTGTAAGTATTTGAAATGAAATATTCGCCAAGCTCTTTGTGCCAGAAAATCCCTGCGAAAATGCTGTGCTTAGCGCGTAATCTCCCCATTCAATTTCTGAATAGTTAAAACAATTTTAAGTTGCCATTGAAACACACAGAACACACAAAAAAAAAAACAATTGTGGCATGAGTAACTGGTTACAAAATTTCACAAGTTCAAAAAGCATTAAAGCTCGAAAATCACGCAAAAAAAATCGATAAACAAATAAATATTATAACGAGCGAGCATTCCATTTAACGCGTAGATAAATCGACTGTTATACATATGTATGTACGCATAAATATATGCGCACACACTCTACACATTTATAGCGGCAATCATACTTTTAGTGGCAGCAAAGCATTTTTTAATTGGAATAGTTGAAATATTTATAGTTTATAGTTGCGCGTTTGAATGAGTCAAAAATGATTGAGAAAAAATGCGAATTTGACAATGTAAACTAAATATGATGACTAAAAATTGCGAATGTTTAAAAATAAATACTACACTAGTACGTATTTAAAGTGTTTATTCTATTCTGTAATTAAACTTTAAACACCTTTTCGACGCATGATTTATTTTTTACAGTTTAAGTGAAAAGTCTAGAGGTCTAACAGTGAAGTGAAACTTTATTAAAAAAATTCAGAAATTTGCGATTCTAGTAACTTATTTTATAAGCCGTTTGAGAAGTGCATGCTTGCATCAGGCGGGCGAAAGAAATAACACAGAAAAGCATCTTTTAGGCATCTCGCAATACAATAGTAACTTGGCGTCTCCACAGGCAAAATTTATTGCCTACCAACGGTCATTTTTATTGCCGGATATAAATTTTATCGGAGGCAATATTTGTGCGTGTGAATTTTTTATCTTGATAGAAGCACCAGCGGCAAAATATTGCCTGATGAAATTATCAAGATAAAAACTGCTGGGGACACCCAGTAAGATAAAAGCGAAGAGAGTGTGCGCTTTGCCGAAGTTTAAAAGGATTTGTAGTTTGGTGAATGCGCAATGGAAGCAAATGTTTTGCTGTCAGAAAACTTTAGACATTCGAACGTATTCACTGTTTTCTGGGCAAGCGGCCTAAAATTTGGCTATGGTCTAAGGCTTAAAGCCGCTGATATGCCATCCGCTTTTCTATATAATGTGATTACAGGGGTCAGTGATAAAGCTTTGCAGAAAAAAATGCAAGGAAATTATTTTTATTTTTTCGTGTTTTGTGTTTTACAATAATTTCAGGATTAAGCATATCCAAATAAAAATTCGACTCCAAATCGAATAACGTTATGAGTCTAGCATCCTAGCATCCAGGTTCCACTGTCCACCATTGGCCAGCTCACACAAAAAGTTAGAGAATGTTTATTAATTTAATAACTTCACCGCCGCTTTTTATTCAAAGAAGCCTCCACAACATTCTACTTTCGAGAATGCCAATAAACATTTCTGGCAACAAAACAAAAAAAAAACAACAGAAAACCAAAACAATTCACGCTAAATGGAAATTCACAACAAGGCAACAGAAAAATTTTATGAGCAAACATTCCAGCAAACTCGTTGCATGCCATCTGTGTACGTACATCTTCCACTGTGCGGCAGCAGCAACAAGTTGGCTTACAGAGCCGACTGAGCAGATGCATTTTATAGCAATGGAATTCCAGTAAAACCACAGACCGCAAATTAATTTACTACTTTTACAATATAATAGCTAAGTTTTGCCAACAGCTCAGAAGAGCAAAACGGCAGCAGCCTACAAAACGCTGAGTCCAAAGCGAACAAAGAGTTTCAAGGAAAAGCTGCAGCAAAATACGAGTACATAGCTAGCTACAACTTGCAGACGGCGGTCAGTGGTCAGCGATGAGGGGTCGGCGGTCATAAATTCAAATTAAATAACTGCAACTCCTACTTTGAGGACGAAGCCAATGTGGATGCGCAACAAAGCAAAAACCCACAAAGACAACCCACTTGAAGCAGCACGCACGTCTACTCACTGGCACTTCATTTGTATTTTTACCAATGCTGATTGCACAGGTAGACGTGGCAGTGGCATGTCACTTAATTGGCCAGTGCAACCACTCATCCACCATACTTACAAAAGTACCAAAATAGCGCTGTCAATTGAAAAATTGAGAATGCTTGCTTGGCTATACATACATATAAACACATTTCCAATTGCACGTACATACATACATCAAGTCATCAGAAGTTACCCACAGAGCTATGCAGCCAGCAGGCCCAGATGCCGAAAGCATGAATGAAATTGGAAGAAAATGTTAAAAATAAATAAACGCTCGTATCATGTGGCGAAGGGGTGGGGGGGGGGGCGGAGGGCAGCAAATCAAAATATTTTCTTTTTTTTTACATACATTCGAATTCGAAATTAATTGAGATGAGCAACGGCCACTTCAAAGCGAGCTGATGTGGTGAACTGTGCTTCGGCTGCGATATCGAATCTGTAGATGATTTATGTGTGTTTGATAAAATAATAAGCAAATTTTTTGTGAAAAAAGTACAGAGGTATGAATATGCAGCATGGCACAGGTGGCCAATTAAGAAAATATACCAAGTAGTTCGATAGAAGGGAAGTGAGCAAGCGCATGTGACGAAAAGCAGCTGACCGTTCCCACGACAGTCGGGTCTACGTAACCGGAACGACCCAGATTTATATCTGGCCAAGGACCGTCACTCCAGCAACACTCCCCAAAAAGTCTTTGGGGAATTTGTATGCTGCTACAACAACAACAACAACAACAAAAGCAGCTGACAATAATGACGGCGATGATGACGTAGATGGTTAGAGAGAGAGAGAGTGTATGCTAAAAATGTACAAATTGAAGAGGAACTACCCTGCAAAAAATGCGACTAATCCGGGATGACTCCGGGAGCAATCGCAAAGGAACATGCGACTAATACCACATTTGATCTCTTTATATGGAATGAACTGTTCGCTTTTGTTCGAGCATGTGCTATGAAGAGACTAATTGTTCACCTTTATACCCGAACGGGTATAAAAAGCGACTATTCACTTTTAAAAAATAAAAATAAAAATTTGCGCGGATACTCTCTCTGTGTGCCAACGCCGCACATGAAATTTCATTGACTAAGTGCGTACATATCATTAAATCGTTAATAGTACCCGTGAGAGATGAGTTGGGGACTAATTGATCTCCAATTATACCCATAAGGGATGAGTCGAGACTAATTAACCTCCATTAGTACCCGAATGAGACTAGTTGGGACTAATTAATACCCAATTGTACCCGATTGAGAGTAATCCCGGAATACTCTCTTTAGAGATTAGTCGCACAATTTTTTGCAGGGTAGTTCTTGTAGCATAACTGATACATGTAAAGCTAACTCTGCAGCTAATCAAAAGAAAAATTTATTTGATATTTCGAA